GGGGGGGTGGGGGGGGGGGGGGGGAGGGGTAAGCATGTTGGAAGAGGAAAACTATTGAGCCATCTAATAGTTGTATGGCATTTTTAATTCTTATAAATTGAGCCACTAAGCTTCTTTCACAACCCCCACCAAGGCAGGCCTCAAGGTACGCCCATGCAGCTTATAGCCAACCTTGGATACTAATGCAATAGAGCCAGGCTCCTTCCCTTCCATGGGAGCATGGAACAAAGCTTCATGTTCATAGGGATCAAACTTGGCTCCAACAGGATTCAGTTTGAGCAGGCCATGTTTTTTGAATACTTTTTGAATCTGCACTTCTGTCATGACAAGACCATCATACAGGTTCTTCAGATGAGGGTTTTCTTCCTTGAGCGCCTCTTTTGGAACACTCTCAGTTGCTTTTTCCAAAATGTCAGCAACTTCTAATAAGTCCTTGCAGAAGCTCTGAATCCCTATAATGAGATGAACAGCCATAAATCACAAGCAAAATCAAATTAATACTTGTTAAGGGAGATAGTTAAATTTATATTAAAAAAACCCAATGTGCTAGGAGTGCTACACAGCACTTCTGCCTTTGAATTGTAGCAACAGCCAGATGGGCTCTTGCTTCATTTCAAAGTGGAAGCACCCTTATTGACTAATCAATGGAAATTCCTACTAAGCACTAGGGATGTGAAGGACTAGTCTATCAGCAAGGGGTGGAGGGAGAGAGAGAAGAGAGGGTATTTCAAAGCAGCAGCACTGCGTGCCAGACCCCAGACTCCATGCAGCGCTGCTGCTTTGAAACGCTGCTGTGGGAACCCATGGGCAGGGCTGGATTACCCAATAGGCAGACTAAGCATGTGCTCAGGGCACCAGCAAAGCAGGGGCACAAAAAAAAATTTACAGTATAGTATTGTTTTTATTTTGAATTACATGGGGGGCCACAACCATAATCTTTTCAGTGCTTAGGGCCTCTAAAGGTCTTAATCCGGCCCTGCCTGTGGGGTCTCTCCTGCTGACCCCGGGCTCCATGCGGCCTGCTGCTTTGAAACACCATAGGAAGCCTGACTTCGGGCTCCTGTGGCAACACCACATGGAGCCCAGGATCAGCATGGAGTCCCCAGCTGACCTCAGGCTCCATGTGGCACTTTGACCTTTAAAGTGTAGCAACAGGGCGTTTCCACCTTTGACTAGTCAATGCAAAATGCATCAACTATTCAATTAGTCAATTACCCGCAATTTAACATCCCTACTAAGCACCATACTAAGAAGGATGCTTGTGAGGAGTGAATTTCAAATTAATGTATTCATATGCTCATGGAAATTGTAAAACAGTTCTGAGTGGTGTTGAACTTCACTAAGGGTACGTCTAGACTACAGGCTTCTGTCGACAGAAGGCGTTATGCCTTGTAAAATGAGGTTTACCAGCGTCGACAAAACTGCTGAGTTCTGTCGACGTTATGTCGACAGAACTCAGCGGTAGTGTGGACGCAGGTATAGTTTTGTCGACAAAAGTCCACTTTTGTCGACAAAACCCTGTAGTCTAGACACACCCCAAGTCTGCTTCTTTTTAATATTTAATTAACTGGCCATGTTGTTTTTAGGCTTTAACTGAGGAGTTAAACTAATGTTACCCTAATAGCTCATACTGATATATTTTATCAACAGTAAGTTAGGAAAGAAGATGAAATAATTATGGATACGCATCATGTAGGATCAGATCCAAAAAGGAACTTAAAACCCAGATTTAGGCACCACTGTAATCCACAAGATCTCTGCTTGGCTGTCCCTTAAGTTGGTAGATGACTAAAATCCACACTGTGTCTCCGAAATGCCTACACTCTAGCATGATCTACCTAGATGGCATAACATTAAAAGACACTGAGCACTATTAGCACTCTGAAGTTGGTGTTACCTCCATGTGCTCAGCACTCTGAAAAATCTATTTACTTTAACATATTAATAAGAAAGCAAGTAGTTGAATACTACTGGTTTCAGATCTCTTGTACTCAAATTTAAGTTGAAAGGGGGTGGAAAGGAACCTAGGAAAAAGGAAGAGAATTCAGGCTGTCATTGCTCATTAAAAATGCTGTCATATGGGTAGAAATCGGGTAAATATTGCATTTTGTTAATATCAGCAGAACTGACTTAAATGGGGCCTGCATGTTTTATAGTCTTGCCTTAATCCTTGTATTTATGCATGTCAGTATGAAAGAAGCTATTTGCATATGTATTTTCATGTATATGCAACCACACTTAAGTTGAGGCCTTCTGCATGTGCTGAGAGTATCACTGTGGCCCCTGGGACTTTCAAAGTTGAGCTACATCTTTCCTAGTAGAAGCAACATTTCATTGCACTCTGGTAAATACTTTCCTTGTGAAATCTGTATAATAATGCCACAATACATTCAACAAATGCAGATCCAATCATGAAGATTATATATCATGTCCGTGTACAAGTGCCATTATAACTCATTTACTTATAAGTTTCTGGAAAATTTTGTAGTCATCAAGCAATTGAGTGAATCTAAATCTAATGCTTCTAGAACTCATAGGCTACATCTACACTGGCATGATTTTCCGGAAATGCTTTTAACGGAAAAGTTTTCCGTTAAAAGCATTTGTGGAAAAGAGCGTCTAGATTGGCACGGACGCTTTTCCGCAAAAGCACTTTTTGCGGAAAAGCGTCCGTGCCAATCTAGATGCACTTTTGCGCAAAAAAAGCCCGATCGCCATTTTCACGATTGGGGCTTTTTTGCGCAAAACAAATCTGAGCTGTCTACACTGGCCTTTTTGCGCAAAAGGACTTTTGCCCATATGGGAGCAGCATAGTATTTCCGCAAGAAGCACTGATTTCTTACATGAGATCGTCAGTGTTCTTGCGGAAATTCAAGCGGCCAGTGTAGACAGCTAGCAAGTTTTTCTGCAAAAGCAGCTGCTTTTGTGGAAAAATTTGCCAGTCGAGACACAGCCATAAAGTTTTACACCCATCCAGTGAAATCATAATGATGCTGAAGCATCTCAAATCACTTTAAATTTATATCAGGACACTGTCTAACATTTCATGCTCTCAGCAACACATTGTAACAAGGATTTGCAAAATATTTGGGAGTTCCAAATGACAGGCTTTGTGAGCAAGTGGCAACATCCGCTCTGAATTTCCAAGCTGTGGCTTTCAAGTTAGTACTACAGTATCTCAATACAACACAGGCACACAAAGTTTCCACCCACCATATAACTTTGCTTCTTCTACCAATTTCTGGCTTCTTTGCCTCAAGTTTTCTGTATCTGCCAGAGCTCGCTTGTACTTGTCCTGGGGAAGAAGATAAAGCATATTTGCAGAAGATATCCCAATGCAGCCAGTATACTGCATGCCAATAATTTAAACCAAGGCTCTCATTTTATTAATTTCATTACAAAGGCACAGTTTAACAAGCTAGGCCCTGTGGTTTATTATGTTATTAAAAGTTACATTAAACTCCAAACTATTTGTTCTAAGCACTTGAAATGAGTGTACGAAGACTGATCCTTATGTCTTTGTGATGTAGGCATGTATTAGCTTCATTTGACAGATGGAAAAAAACGGGGAGGGAGGAAATCAGTACTGCTGTGTTCACTCTTTTGCCCACAATTAGTTTTTTGTTGTTGATATTTTAAGGGGACTTGGGGAAAGGAGGAGATATAAGGCAGTGGCATGGGAAGAACAGATGTGCTTCCACTCTGTCAGGCCTAACTCCATTGAGGTATTTAAGGCTCCCAAATGTCAGTTAGCCAATTAAACAGGATTTTACATACCTACTCTGCAGAACACATTCATATGTTAATCATCGCTCATGCCACTGCTATTGATATCAATATAAGCACCTCTCTCAGATTTAATTCTATAAATAATAATAATAATAATAATAATAAAAAAGCTTAAAATTCCAGGATTACTAAAAGAGAAAAAGACAGGCCAAGGAGAATCAATTTGAGTAAAGAAAGTAGCTTACAGTCCCAGGCCTCAGTGATGAGTATTACTCCCCACATTTTTCTAGATTGAAACTGAAGCCCAGAGAATCTATGAGCAGATTGTTCCCAGCAAAAAGAACATGTATTAATAATGGACTAAACTTTTAAAGGGAAGAGTCCAATTAGTGTAATCCAAACCTGTAATATTTCATTCATGATCTAACTGCTACATATTCTTATCCAGCTTGTTTACAGCTTGTGTAGCTGGAACTTCATACTTTGCCTAAGGTATGCTGGCTGATCAAAAGACCCTTACTGTAATTTCTTTTAATTGCTCTTCAAGTTTGGCTTTCTCTTCAATTAATATCTTCTCAGGAGAGTTCAGTTCAGCCTTTGGCTCATTCTGGCTCTGACTCTGGTCATCTTCTAAATTCTGTCCAGTGCTTTTCTGTTGTGTTGCTATGCAAAGCAACCGTGGAGAAGTGCTAAAGCAAACATACAGCATTAGTCAGCTACTCATCATAGGAAATATTAATGGTTTTTGGACATACTGGACACTTGATTTGCCTTGCGAAGACCAGGACTTTAACAGCATTCAAAAAAGAATCAGATAAATTCATGGAGGTTAGGTCCATCAATGGCTATTAGCTAGCATGGGTGCGAATGGTGTCCCTAGCGAATGGTGTCTGTTTGTCAGAGGCAGGAAATGGATGACAGGAGAGGGATCACATGATGATTCCCTGTTCTGTTCACTCCCTCTGGGGCATCTGGCACTGGCCACTGTTGGAAGACAGGATACTGGACTAGCTGGACCTTGGTCTGACCCAGTTTGGCTGTTCTTATGTTGAACACATATAGAAGAAACTGCCATCCTAAAGCCTGAAAAATTATTTGTGAAGTAACAAAGGCTACACTCCTGCAAGCCACTGTTCACATTAGGGATGTTCGATATCGGTTAATAATCGGTTACTCAACTATTCTATAATCCCTTGGGGAAGGGGCAGGGCTGGCAGCCACCCACTATATCAGAGGCAGCAGCACGGGGTGCCAGGTGGGAGCTAGTCCACAAGCGGAGGCAATTTAAAAACCAGCTCCCTCCGTGGACCAGCTGCCTGTCGCCCTGTGCTTCTGAGAGAGGCAGCAGCAGATCCTTTCTGGGGATGGGGCGGGGTCCAACACAAGCCAGAACTGTGGTGGGCTGCCTGCTCAGCCAGCTCTTAATACACTTGAAAATGCAGAGCTGAAACTGGGGTAGGTCACGGACCCAGTTTGAGCTAGAACTGAGCCGGGCACAAGAGCGTCCATGGCAGTGTGGACACTCTCTTGAGCAAGAAAGCTCTGATGGCCATTTTAGCTATAGGGGTTTCTTGCACAAGAGAGTGTCCACACTTGTCCATCCACACTGCCTTCTTGCGCAAGAGGGCTTATTCCTCGTGGGGAGAGGAATAGCTCTTGCACAAGAAGCCTTCTGTTCCAATGCTCTACTGTAAATTTACTTGAGCAAGAATGCACACAGTGTAGACACGCATGTAGTGTAGATGCACCGCAAGTTTTTGCGCAAGAATAACCATTCTTGCACAAAAAGCCTGCAGTGTAGATGCAGCCCATGGCTATGTCTAGATTTTCCGCAAATGCTTTTAAAGTTTTTACGTTAAAAGCATTTGCGAAAAAGAGCGTCTAGATTGGCACGGACGCTTTTCCACAAAAGCACTTTTTGCGGAAAAGCATCCGTGCCAATCTAGACGCGGTTTTGCGCAAAAAAACCCCTGATCGCCATTTTCACGATTGGGGCTTTTTTGCGCAAAACAATACCGCGTTCTCTACACTGGCCCTCTTGCGCAAAAGCATTTGCGCAAGAGGGCTTTTGCCCGAATGGTAGCAGCATATCATTTCTGCAAGAACACTGAGAATCTTACATGGGATCGTCAGTGTTCTTGCAGAAATTCAAGCGTAGACAGCTGGCAAGTTTTTCCGCAAAAGCAACTGCTTTTGCGGAAAAACTTGCCAGTCTAGATGCAGCTCATATGTTTAGAACACCTCCTTCTTACTCTGCCTCAAAATTAATAACACTGGTATACAATTTTTTAGAAGTTGTCTGCTTCAGAGATAATAAATAGCACATTTTATGTATTTTGATGTGCTGAATTCAAATATGGCAATTAAAACAACTGATTGGCTACTGTTTCCAAGATATTTAAGTTTTTACATTTTACGTCTATGTATATTGTGTAGATAGTTTTAATCATCAATTGTAAACCTAGGTCTTTTCATGTGTTTATAGTTGCTTTACATGATAATATTTCACCTGTCCTGTTTATGTAACACTTTAAAAATCAGGAAAAGGGTTACATAAATAAAATTTATTATGAAACAAAAGGCAAAAAACTATTATGTACATAGTTTAGCCCTATTCAGTGTCTACTTGGCGCTTCTTGGCTTGTCTCTTGTATTCATTAAATGGAGCATCTCTTGTCACTGTCCAGCAATAGTCTGCAAGCATTGATGGGCTCCATTTGCCCTGATAGCGTTTCTCCATTGTTGCAATGTCCTGGTGAAATCGCTCGCCGTGCTCGTCGCTCACTGTGACATGTTGCAACCAAAGCTTTTGTATGCCTTGAGGAGGTTTTCCACCAACAACCTGTAGTTGTCTGCCTTGTTGTTTCCGAGAAAATTTATTGCCACTAACTGGAAGGCTTTCCATGCCATCTTTTCCTTGACACGCAATGCATGGTCAAATGCATCATCTCGAAGAAGTTCATGAATCTGAGGACCAACAAAGAC